CTTCATGCAACGGACAATTCAGAAAGTGAAATATACATCTTGTAAATATATTCTTTTTCACTAGTCTCTTGGTATTACCTGCAACAGGGGAAACTTTAAAACAGTCCATACATACTGATTTGTTTTTGAGAAGCTGTTAGAAATTATTAATATTTTCAGTATATCTGCAATATGTTTAGTGCTGTTTGCTAAAAGAGAAGTATATCTGCAATATGTTTAGTGCTGTTTGCTAAAAGAGAAGGATTTTTGTGCATTTCTTTAGCTAGAGGAAATGAGAATCTTGTAAGGTTCTACAGGAGTTGTTATGGTTAAATATACAATGTTTAAAAAATAAAGAAATGTTGAAGACAACACTAGGGTATGACAGTTTTTCTCAGTGCACCTAGAAGCTACGAAATAGCCTTTGGAGTGCTGAAACATCTTTTACTCTTCACTATTGACAATACCTCTTTCGCATTTGGTTTTGTGTTTGGGGCTTTTTTCGTTTCTTTATTTTCTCCCCTTAAACACTTTGTCAGCTCCTGAATTAAACAGTCTTTCTTGTCCTCCTGTCCTTTCACTTGTTTTTTCCTCTATTCTAGACTAATTCTATTCTTCTTCCTTGAGCTGTCCATGAGATGCTTTTCCCTCAAACACCCTTTAAATCATGTATGTATGATAAAAGGTGAGATAATTAGTGGAAGCTGGAACAGATGAAACAAATCTGCTGCTAAACACCCTGTTATGTGCCTTGTACTGTGGCACTGCCTGTTCATTTTCTTCACTCAGCAAAACGGTTTCAGAATCTCAAGTTGTGAACCAGAACGTGATTATGAATTCACAATGAAAGATGCAACCTGGCTACTTTTCCAAGAATGCTGTTGGTGTTTTCAGCTGACAGGACTTTCTTCATTCCTCCATCTACAAATACTCAGCTTGGTTTTTGAAGCCACTACAGTCACCACATGGACTTTTTACTGGACTTTTTACTGGACTCTGATTCCAAACAGTTTTCTGACCAATACAGTCTGAAAGTTATATTTGGAATTGGCTCAAACACTGCTTTGAACTTTCCCTTTGAGGAAACTCCACTAAGTTATAGTTTGGGATTTATGGTGCATTTGAGATTAGTGGTCATAAGCAATACAACATTTCTTTGCCACCGTGAGAGCAACAACAAGGTAACTATCTGTGCCCTTTTGCTGCACATGAGCCACACGAGCCAGGAAACACTGGCAACTGTGCCTGAGAGGGCACAAGATGTTTGTAATGACCTTAATGAGGACTACGAGGGATAAGCTTCATTAAGCACTTGTCACAGCACTTGCTGTCTGAACCAATACTGCTGTTTGACATCTCTGTTAACATGTTCTGGCATTTTAATGCTAACCTGCATATCCATCTTCATACATATTGTTTTCCCCTTTCCTTCTGTCAAAATAGCAATTAATTTCCAGCCTACCACTGACAACAAGACAAAGTTCAAGCAGTGTTTTATGAACTCCCAGAAATGCTGAGTAAAGTCCAAGTCTTAGTGCTTGACATTGATTTATATCTGCTTCATGCAAAACCTGCCATTTTCTCATTAAAAATTGAGCTTTACCGGTTGCCTGCTATTTTTTCTCTGAGTATGGCTTTGTTACTTTGCATGAGTTGGCTTGCCATGAATATGTCACACTGGGATTTCAAATACTGAGTTCTTTTCAGTATGAGTAGAGAAGAGCAGAAGGGGGAGGCTTAATAAAGGAAAAAGAAAATACAAATACTGTTGCCAGGTCACTGATAAAGGAAAATTTCTGTGTATTAAGCAACTTAATTTTCCAAATTCTTATGTACCTTTGATATGTTTCCATACCTGAGTGCATTAGGTGATACAATTAACATCAGTCCTCTTCCTTACTTTCCCCACAAGAATATAAAGTTTATCTTGATGAAAAGTATCTTCTGCTTCTGGCTCTTGGCTTTGAAGAAGACACATGTAAATGCCTTTATTAGAAGCCTTGGTATCTCAAAAAAATATCCTTATTTCTTTTCTTCCTCTCTAATCTTCTTACTAGCATTTTACCTCTAGTTACAAAAGTTCAACCAACATAAACATATTGTATGAGCTGAACAACAGACACCATTTGAATTCAGTCTCTCTGCTCCATTGAGCAGAACCGCCTTTACCTAATTTATTTAGGTATCCTTTTTTAAGGGAATAAAGCAAGCGTTCTCCTTGCATTTCAGTGACTTTAAAATCTCAGCTGCTAAAATGCTGTGCTAGAGCTCAGTTCCTCTGCCATGGAGAGTTTAGTTATTGGTTTGAATGGAAGAAGAATAAGAACATATCTGGAGGCAGAAGGAGGCATTATGAGGAAGGCATCTAGCATAGAAGAGGTATGCGAAACTATTTGACATATTTCCATTTATTTAATAAAATGAAAATCAGTTTCTGAAAATTGGAATGCATGTGATCTTATCCCTCAGCAATGATTCCACAAAGCTCTGCTTTCTGATCTAAAATTATTGTTTCACCCTATTTTTGGAGTAATGTTGAGAAATCAGTTAAAAACTTACCTGAAGTTTTGTTTGGGGATTGAAGGGTAAAGCCAGGTCTAGCTGTAAAGGACGAAAGCTTGCTACTGAAAAACTAGAATTTATGTTCGTGCAGAATTGCTTTTGTCACTTGAGGATTTATCAGTTAATTAAACAAAATTAATGAGACAAATCACCATACCCACTTATAACTGACCTCACTAAAACATCAAGGCTGAATGGTCCTCTTTGTTTGGGGAGCACAAGGTGCAACAAAGTAAAACCAAAGCAAGTGCATATGTTTCTTGGAACTGAGGAATGTGTCTCATCTGATTTCTACACTAGCCTATCAATAGCTCCTCCACAAATGCTATTCAATGGCTTGTCATTTAATTTCTTTACTCTGTATTATACAGACAGGATTTAATGGGAAATAATACATAGTGGTGCTTGGAGTTACTAGCAATGGTGTTATTTGGTGGCAGTTTGGTCAGTGCACTCAGCAGGAGCTATAGAGACATTCTCTCTGAAACAGTTTTCAACACCATGAACACTTTGTGGAATCCATGCTGAGTTACAGTTAAGTTTGTGTTGTCAAGAAGAAGTCAGCCTTGATACTGTATGAAATTGTTTTATTTTTATAATACAATTCACTTTGAAACTGATACAGATACTCACTTTGCTCCATGAGCCAAGGTTTTTTCTGTTTTAATATCTTTATTGATGATCTGGATGAGAGGATTGAGTGTACCATTAGCAAATTTGCAAATGACGTCAACCTGAGGGGCATGTTGATCTCGTGGAAGGCAGGAGGGCTCTGCAGAGGGACCTGGACACACAGGAAAGTTGGGCTGATTCCAACAGGATGAGGTTCAACAAGGCCAAGTGCCAGGTCCTGCGCTTTGGCCACAACAACCCCCTGCAGCGCTACAGGCTGGGCACAGAGTGGCTGGAGAGCAGCCAGGTGGAAAGGGACCTGGGAGTTTGGATTGACAGGAAGCTGAACATGAGCCAGCAGTGTGCCCAGGTGGCCAAGAAGGCCAATGGCATCCTGGCCTGGATCAGGAACAGTGTGGCCAGCAGGAGCAGGGACGTGATTCTTCCCCTATACTCAGCACTGGTGAGGCCACCCCTGGAGTGCTGTGTCCAGTTCTGGGCCCCTCAGTTCAGGAAGGATATTGAGGTGCTGGTGCGGGTCCAGAGAGGAGCAACAAGGCTGGTGAAGGGACCTGAACACAAGTCCTATGAGGAAAGGCTGAGGGAGCTGGGGTTGTTTAGTCTGGAGAAGAGGAGGCTCAGGGGAGACCTCATCACTCTCTATAACTCTCTGAAAAGTAGTTGTAGCCAGGTGGGGGTTGGTCTCTTCTCCCAGGCAACTACACAAGAGAGCACAGTCTTAAGCTTTGCCAGGGGAGGTTTAGGTTGAATATTAGGAAAAAAATTTTTACAGAGAGAGTAATCAGACATTGGAATGGGCTGCCCAGGAGGTGGTGTATTCACCATCCCTGGAGGTTTTTAAGATGAGACTGAATGTGGCACTTAGTGCCATGGTCTAGTAACCAGAGTGTTGGATGAAGGGTTGTACTTGATGAAGACGCCTTTTCCAACCCAGCTGATTCTATGATTCTATGATTCTGTGATGCTCTGTTGAAAGTTTGGATGGTGTCAGAGTTGGTGCATGACACTTGATGAGTGTCAAGTTTTGATGGATACAGTATTGGGTCAGTTATTCCAACAATCTCCAGGCAATTTTGGGTCGATGTGATGGATTAATGAATCAGCACCCAAGTCTCTTCCAGAATGCCCCCTTCCAAACTGGTGTAGATGTGGAAACAAAGTGCAGGGAATACACATGTATACTGTGAATTAAATTAAATAACTTTGAACAAGAAGGTGGATAATTTATTTCTTAGACATTTTCTACCTAGGAAGCAGAAGTCAGAAAACACCTATATTGGAAGAATCTTAGGAGGAATCTTCGTCAGGTCTGTGCTACATGATGATCTTGAAGTTCCAGTGAAAAAATTTATATATCTGTACAGGATGGGGATGTGGATCCTGCCAGGCTTGTGCAGTTATTTGCTTATGTACCTCACACACTTAGAGAACCAGGATACCTCTGACACCAACCACTCCAACACAGAGTGTCATTTTAGCACAGATATTCCTGAGAGTGTGGTTGGGGAATCCTTCTTCCCTATGCTATGCCTCTCTGTAACATCTACCAACTCACAAATCTCTGCATGACTGTGCCGTATGGCTAATGCTGTTTTAAATGCAGATCTTGGCATTTAATACAATTAAGTGAGAGTGTCAGTACACAAACAATTTGCAACAAGATTATCCCTAGGGCTCAAAACCTTTAAGTAATTGAATGAAACAGCAAACTGCATACGAAAGTAAATGTGCACAGAATTTTGACAAGGAGACAGAAGATGCAAATAAAATTGAGCGGAGAAGCCCATTGCTGATGAAACATTGGCAGCTGGAGTGAAGCTGCCTGCCTCCAGGGAGCTGTTGGGATGTTGATGTATAAATTAATGTGCTGCAAAGAAAGAAAAAGAATAGGAACAACAATTAATGGAATACAACAAATACTTGGTGTCTGAGTTTTGATCAACTTGAAAGGCAATTACTTGTTCTTGAGTATGTGAAATTGCCTACAGCATGATTTGGGAATGCTCCCTGAGGTGTACTGCTCCTCTGAATAAAGCTGTCCAGGAAGGAGTGTTTCATAGGTACAATTTCTTTCATGCAAATATGCAGTATTTGATCCCATTTGCGCAAGCTTCTCAGCTTCAGAGTGGACTTTCTGGTTGTTCACAATAGCCTGCTATATCTAGGGTACCTCTTGGGTAAGTGCTCAAACTGAAAGTTCCCTACAACCTGCTTTCTGCTCTGGGGCTTTTACTTGGTTGCAAAATCTAACACTTTTTTTCTTTTTTTTTTTTTTTTTTTAATTATTATTTTTCTATGTGGGTGTCTTTCAACTGAGACTCTCTTGCATGCCCTACTACTGACAGGTTAGAACTCCTTGAAATGTAGGAAAACAAACTTTTAACTCTGATTTGCACACACCTTTTTCACTGCCTTCACCTTTTCATCTCAGATGCTTAGATATTTTTTCCTCCTACACCTGTGATAACCAGCATACCTTAAGGTATGGTGGGCGTGCAGCACCCAAACTGTTCTTGATCTTCTGGGAGCTAACTGCTGGTCCTGAATCCATCCTTTCCTATTTATTTCAGTATTTATGGCAAACAAATTTATGGCGTGACAGTGTTTTAGGCAACTTGCTCTAACCACAGGACAATGAATAGTAGAAGGTGAAGAAATAAAAGTACATTTTTCTGACAATTAGTCTGGACTCAGTATTTGGAACTTACCTTGCTGATATAAGTGAGAAATCTCTCGAAAACTGATTTCTGCCAAATGAGTAAAAAGTAATTAAATTTTGCATACATTTCTTAGATTCCTTGGCTACAGAATGCGAAAGAGAATCTTAATCATATTCTTCCTTCTTACAGGTGTGGCATAGCCAGCCTAGTGTGGGAACATCTAGACTCCAGGCTTTACTCCCAAGTAACTAAAGGTAGTTGGGTAGGAGGTAGAATAACATCAAAAAAAGGTAAATCTTACCTGCAACAACAGATACAGAATATCCATTCTTTTGAGTCCAGTGGATTCAAAACACAGGTTTTGAAACCTACTCACCAGTGCTTGGGTGGCCATTTTGGTCTCTGGATTTTGGAGTGTGGGAATAGAGAACATAAAGTCCCTTACACTTTGCCTTACACAAAGTAACAAAGCAAAAAGTCTGAAAATGCACATCAGTTTCTGGATGAAAAAAATAATTGGTGTGAACTTCACATGCAACTTCTACCTCTTCCTTTGCTTGTTCATTTGGGTTTGTTCTGTCTGTGAACAGTTTCAGGTTCTAGAGCTGCCTGTCCCTGACTCTAAAATCTCTCTATATATTCCCCAGCCTTTGTTGAATGTGTCTATGAACTGATCCATGTGATGTCTGCACAAGTCTTGTAAAACTGAAACTGTGATATCCTTGTTTGAGTCACCCTGTCTCTTCACATGCTGTTCAGGTCAGCCAGGATTTCTGTCCTTCCTCAACTGAGCTGAGCTGGTAGAAATGAGCCAGGGCTAGGTACTTCAAGAGGAAGAAATTCTCATCATCTATGACCATTTAGGCTTTATTGTGTCTCTTCCAAGGGCAAACAACATTTGTTTCCTGAACAGATCCAAGAGGACTAAATATCACAGTGAAATCTGGTGAGGACTGTGGCAAAAGAACAAAACTGGGATTAAGGGGAGCTTTCGATAATTATTACATCTCATTCTGTCTGCTTCAGTGGTAGTTCAGTCAACTGCCTCAGGTAGCTCAGAAATTATTTTGGAATGCTGTTCTAAATGGTGTGGACTATTCCTCATCCATATGAGTGTCTGTGAGCCTGTGTGTTTATGAGGTGCACAAGTATGTGAGAGATACAGACAAATTCTGCAGGGCTCCTGGGGTCCAAGTGTTCCCTTCTGCATCCCTCAGCTTGCTGGAAAAACTTCTTGCTTATCACTGGAAGACAAACCTTCCTTTTCTTATCCAGGAATACAAGCTTGGCTGTCTGGATCTTGCAGCTCATGTTAAGGAGAGTACTGTGGACCCGGACATTTCATAGACACAAAATCTCACTTCGTATGTTTTCTATGTCCTTCAGTAAAGAATGTCTTATCTGGGGAACCTGAAAACATTCTAGACCTAAGCCAAAGTAAAAGAAAACAAAAAAATTAAGGCATCTATTGTCAGTATTCAGGATAGAGAAACTGTGAATACTTTCAAAAGGCTCAGGTGAAAAAAGGAAAAGACGAAGCAGGGTTTACTCTGTCAAATCTAGGGAAAAAAGATGCTGTCTTATGCATCCAACTATTTGCCAGGCATCCAAGTGCCAGGGGTTTTACCTTTCTGCATTCTTGAGGCCATAAGAAAGGGAACCAAACCAATCAATCCAACAAACAAACACCAAACCAAACCAAACACAGGTGGGGAATCTTGCTTCCATAATCTTTCTCTCTTTTGACAAAAGACAGTTTAAATCTCTTTTTGAATGTAAAAGAATATTGAAAGTAGCAAGATTCAATTCTCATCTAAATAAAAAAGGAGGGCATTTTAGTGTGGGGAGAATTTGACCTTGACTCTGGTAAAAAAGAACTAGTATATTTCTTTCCTGGAAACATCACTTCTAGATATCTTTTCACACTTGGTGCTGGATCAGGCAAATAACAGCTCCTTGTTTGCTGATGAATACAGTCACCCTTTATGAGAGGCATTTCTTTATTTCACTCCTGTATTGGAAGTCAGGGGGAGTTAATTAATTTGTCATTTAGCACAAACATTGAATTATGGATTCAGGCACTGAGAAGCAATGGCAAAAATTTCAACAATCCTCCCCATTTCCCAGGCTCAGTTTCAGCCCAGACACCCTCATCCCCCACTCCCTTAATTTTCCCTACTTGTTAACACTTAAACTTTTAGTTTAAATTGAAGGAAAGAGGGGTATAATTCTCAGGGTATTTCAGTGTGTGGAGAGAAATTAGTGAAAAAGAGCACAAGCCATTTTCTCTGAACTTCTGCTTTTTATGGGAACAGGTACTTCACAAATTCACAGGTCTGAAACACACTCAGTACTCCCTGGCATTAGCTGAGGGCTACTGTGTGTGCTTCTGTAAGGCCAACACATAAAATTACCATTGTTAAGGTCAGAGCAAGGAAATTGTTTAAGAATTAGGCAAATCTATTGGATAAAATTGTTTTGAAAATAGAAGGTAAAAAAAAAAATTAGCAGACAACACAGCAAATGACAGAAATTGCAATCAAGTATATCTACTTTGGGCAAGCTGAATGCAAGGTTGATGTTTTATTCTGATAGTTAGATCTTAATTGTGTTTGTGCAAGACAAAAAATTGCATCGCTTTGAGAAAGGAGGAGCGTAGGCCATCTTGCCATAATAAAGCAGTGTCTGTGGTTGCTGAGCTCACACTTATGCCCAACTTTCTGCCACATAAACAGTCTGATTCTAGGTATGAGCCCAGTGTAGAGCAGTAACCACCCTCAGATAAATGGTGGAAAAGGGAAAGAGCTCACTTAGGTGGCCGGATGTTTTTATAGCAAGTGTTTGCCTGACCATGAAAGAATAAGGAAAAAGATGAAAATTTTACAAAACTATTTGAAGGACCTGGGAAAAGAAAGGGATGAGCAGTGGAGCTGTTATCTTCCTCTGGACTGAAATCAACACTCCAGTTTTCAAAGTTCAATTTGAAATCTCTGGCATTCTGGATAGTTTAATTCTTTTTAATCTGTTTAATTTATTAGCATCAAATTTAATTTATTAACATCAGTATTTCACTGGAAGCCCAGCACAGGCAAGCATGTATTCACCTGGGTAGGTCTCATCACAGAACCACAGGAAACAAGGGTGTTCAAACCCATCTTGTGGAGCATTTGATTCCAAACATGTCTTCTTCCACACTGCCTGGAAACTGTTGGGTTTGCACTGACAGCATGGTTCTAATACTATCTCATCCATAACTTAAACATAAAAACATATTGTATGCACAGTCTTATGAATCTGTTTACAAGGAAACAACACTTTCCTTTAGAACTAAAATCACCACTAAATGCTTCAGAAAATACCATCACTCATTTGATGCCTCTTCAGGGAACACACAAAGTATCTCCATTGCTAAATATATTAGTTCCACTGTACTTATCTGAAAATTATTACTGTGTTTTGCAATAGTTATAACAGCAGAAGATTGGCTTAGTGATCAATTTCCCATTTATTTGATTTTTACAGTGTTTGAAATGGTTGTTTCATGTGACACATGTTCTGGATTTTCTAAAGCTTATTTCTTTGTTTGTTTCTGCTTCAATCTTTTTTTTGTTGTTCCTTTCATTGCCATTAAAAGCGCTGGGCCTTTTGTCCTTTGAACTTGCTAAGACAGATGGGCATGCTTTTGTTTTAAGCTGTTACAATGTTATAATTTTTGATGTTTCCCGGAAAGCACTTTGCTATACATGTTCTCAACCCAAGTCTAACTATTAGGCCTAAAACAAAACAAAAACTTTTATCACCAAAAGGCTGTATAGAAAGGAAAAAAAAAAACAAAACAGTAGTATAGTCAGCCCCTGTTAATAATGTGGAAACTTGGGCCTATATGTCACAGAAGATAATATATTTATTTCACTGTCTTGATAAAGGGTGAAAAATTGTTCAGGTTTTTGGGTTTGTCCTTTTTCGTCTGCACAGATCCTTCAGCTAACAGTCTGGCACTGAGCCGAGGTGAAAGTTTCAAAGCATTGGGAAAATGAATGGTCAAAGTAACCATTTTACACTTTAAGGAACTCGTCTCCCATCGTTTTCCAAAATGAACAACAACAAACAGGTAGCCTGAAGGAAAGTGAATAAAAATAAAAACATTTTGGCTGTTGTTCAGGGCTATGCCCTCATGCTGTCGGAAGGACTGTCGAGGATCTGAACTGAGTGAGAGAAGAGCAAGCAGGAGCAGTGGAGGCTGAATACAATGAGCCACTAAGGAGCTCAGCATGTGTTCCTTCAAAACCACCATCTCTGGGGGGTGGCCCCCTCCCAGCCTGAGAGAACAATTAGTTACAAGTGCAGTAATAAGAAGTATTTCATAGTGAGAGAACATCTGTGCTGAGGCAACCTCAGAGATCCCACTTGCCCAAGGCACTGTAATGGGATGCTGCTGATGAGTGGCCATCAAAACTGGACTGCTGGGAGGCCCTGAGAGGACGAGATGGCAAGAAGCCCTGATGGATGAGCTAATGGGAGTCCGTGAGGATGCACTGGCCAACAGCACTGAGGGGTTTGGGCAGCTGGAGGCACCAGGGCACATGTGATTACAGGGGCCCTTGTGGCATACTGTGACATGGGCACTGCTGATGGCATGGGGCATGGCAGTATTTCACAGAGCCCTTTGTGACCCAACATGATATGTGTGTTGGCTGCGACACCCACAGTTCCTGAAGGATATGATAGAACATCATGGGACATGACAGAACGTCATGGGATATGATGAAACAGCCTGGGATATGACGGAACAACATGGTATATGATGGAAAAACATGGGACAGAGTGGTGGTGTTAGGATCTCTCACACAGCTGCCTTGTTCCTTCCTGACCCTGTGTTTTCCCTAGTTATCTCCAGTCCCTGTGTCAGGAACTCTTAAGGCTAGAGAGTGGGATGGCAGCAAGACCTCAGAGTGTGCCCAGCGAGGGCACAGTAAAGAAAGAGGAGGAAGGCCCTGGTGTTGCCCCTTCTCTACCATCCCTGGGTCAGGAGCCCTCGAATCCAGACAGCTGGATGGCAGAGGGACCGTCCAGCATGACCGGACTGGCCAGTGTGAAGGAGGAGGAGGAGGAAGGTCCTGGGTCTGCCCCAGAATGGCCACCTCAAAAGATGGAGGAGTTCCAGCCACTGCAGGCAGGTGAGTAGCAGAGCTGGGACACAGGTCTAGTGGGTGCAACCAGCTTGGCCCCATCCCATCCCCTACAGACATCCCCAGGGAAAGGGGGAAAGAGGATATAAGACTGATCCACATAGCAGTCATGATCCATTCACTGGACATCTGGTGGATGGCCCTGCATGGGGAGCACAACTTTGGGGAAGTTTGGATATGTTCTCCAACCTTTCCCACAACCCCTCAGCTCTGCTTGGTCTTTGCCAGATCCAGTTGCGGTGCTGACAGAAGAGCAGGAGCTCATCCGTAAGCGTTTCAGCAATAGAATACAGGTACCTGCTGCCATCCCTGCCTGGGCTGAGCATGCTGTTTCTGCTTAGCTGAGCATCACCACTGAAGCTTTTGATGGGACAATCCTCTCTGCCTGGCCCTTCCTTCTGCAGACCTTTTGGAAATTTGTCAAGACCACTGAACGTGAAGAGATGGCCATCACAGCCATCGAAGGCATGGCAAACTCTGACTCCTATAACCCAGAGGCTTGTGCTGCCATGCTGAATTCGCTTGTGCAGAGTGACATCCCCAATTTGAAGCGTGTAAGTAGCCTATGGCTGGGGCTCAGGCCTCCTGGGGATTGTGTGCCCCCTCAAGTTAGGCCCTATAGGCACCCACCCAAAATCCTTCAAGGCCAGCATGGTGGAGTGGGAGTGGAAGCAATTATCTGCTGGGGATTTGGCTCACTTTGGCAGCATCCCAAGTCTCCCCCGTGTGTCCTCCAGGTGCCAACAATTGTGACGTATATGTACCGGTGGCTCAAAGCCAACACAGATCTGTCTGCAGAGCACAGGCTTGACAAGAGCCTTCTGAAGCTGGCGCAAGCACACCCCAACGATGTGGTAGTGACCCTCCTGTGCTGTGCCCCTTCGTGTGACAGGTAGGAGGCCCACCTGGCTTGGGGGCTCAGAGCTCACTAACTTTTAGAGCCCTGTAGAGGCCATTCCATGTGGGCTGACAGACTGATAGATAGTTCCAGGACCCCCTGGCTGCTCTGTTTCCCAGCTCTGTCAGCCCCAGAGCCTCCTGCTTCCTTCCCCATGTCAGTCCCAGAGCCTCCTGCCATGCTTTCTCCCTGCTCCTCAATGCACTGACCCTGCCCACAGGGACAGTCTTGCTGGTTGCTGCTGGTGAAGGGCTGTGGGCAGGGGCAGGGCTGGCAGCCAGCTTGGACCCTTGTGGGTGCCCAGGCCATGGTACTGTGGCTGAGACTCTGCTGACAGAGAGCTCTGGACCTGCAGAGCCGCTGTGTCCATGTGGAAGGTGATGGTGTCTTCAAGCAGGACTGCAGAGGGGGTGCTGTCGGAGCTGCCCTGTGTGCTGGAGGACTGGCCGCTGCACAGCACCTGCACCTCTGAGGGGGAGAACAAGGAAGTCTTTGCTCTGGCTGTGAGTTTCTGATCAGGCGTTTTCTTGCTCCTCCCTGTCCCTGTCTGTTGGGTCTCCACCCTCCCCCACCTCT